GGATAAACTAAGTTTTAAAAAAAAGATTTTTATCTTAAAAATCAAAATCAAAATAAATAAATAAATAAATAAATAAAAGAAATTGTTATTTACAGCAAAAACATCAGCAACAATATCATCAACAAGAACAACACAACAAATACACATATTGTCGTGTGGCATCTATGTTGAAGAGAAAGATCAGACAGTTGGCCTTACAAAATGACCACGCATACATGCACCCACTCATACAAACACACACAAACATATAAAGACACGCAAACACACACAAACACACACACACACACACACATTCACACATACTTATATATATATAATATATAAACCTTGTCAGCGGTTGGAAAGAAAGCATCATTCTAGATATCAAAACAAAATCGAAAACAACATAACAATGCAGCAGCTTTCCCGAGCAGAAAAGAAAACATAATGATGCAATAACACAACAGTAAAAGTAAGGCGGAGGTTTATAAAGGTGTGTGCACACGACATGTACCATCAAACCATCAAACACCGAGAGATCACGAGAAGACTATTAGAGTGAACAGAGGCATCATGCAGGAAGGCTCCTAACAGTGTGTGTGAGAGTGTGTGTTTAAGTGTGTGTGTGTGTGTATGTGTATGTGTGTGTTTGTGTGCGAGAGAGAGAGAGAGAGAGAGAGAGAGAGAGAGAGAGAGAAAGAGAGAGGGAGAAACAGGGAGAGAAAAAGAGAGTAAGGTGGGGGGGGGGAGAGGGTGGGAGGAGAGAGGGTGAGGGAGAGATAGAGTGTGTGTGTGTGTGATAGAGAGAGACGAGGGAGTATGCAACTAACCTCGGCCGAATCTCCTTGCTGTTATGGTCATCAAAAAAGAAATGGAGGGAACGAGTGAGAGAAAATATAAAAACATAAGCAACAAATCTTAGCTATTTTAAAATTCTTATTGTTGAGTGTGAAGGTTAAAGGACGGGGAAAGAGGGGTTGGTGTGTGTGTGTGTGTGTTTGTGTGCGTGTATGTGCGTGCTTGTGTGTGTGTGTGTGTGTGTGTGTGTGTGTGTGTGTGTGTGTGTGTGTGTCTGAGTGTGTGTACACATGGAAGACAAACACAAAAACAGATTAATGGACGGAGCGATTCAGGCAGACAGAACTGTGTGAGGATATACATGTATACACACAAACAGAGCAGACAGAACTGTGTGAGGATATACATGTATACACACAAACAGAGCAGACAGAACTGTGTGAGGATATACATGTATACACACAAACAGAGCAGACAGAACTGTGTGAGGATATACATGTATACACACAAACAGAGCAGACAGAACTGTGTGAGGATATACATACATGTATACACACAGAGCAGACAGAAGTGTGTGAGGATGTACATACATGTATACACACAGAGCAGACAGAAGTGTGTGAGGATGTACATACATGTATACACACAGAGCAGACAGAAGTGTGTGAGGATGTACATACATGTATACACACAAACAGAGCAGACAGAAGACTGTGAGGATGTACATACATGTATACACACAAACAGAGCAGACAGAAGTGTGTGAGGATGTACATACATGTATACACACAAACAGAGCAGACAGAAGTGTGTGAGGATGTACATACATGTATACACACAAACAAAGAGGACAGAACTGTGTGGGGATATACATGTATACACACAAACAGAACAGACAGAAGTGTGTGAGGATGTACATACATGTATACACACAAACAGAGCAGACAGAACTGTGGGAAAATGAAAACACAAACAGGAAGTGATGTTGGACTCTGGGCGACTCAGTACAAACAGAAGTCTGCTATGAACAACACCCCCCCCCCCCTCCCCCCAAAAAACCCATCAACATCAACAATTACCAACTGCAATCGTCTCATAAAGCAAATTTCAGAGTAGAAAATGGTACTTCAAGTAAGTGATTGCCAAAAATAGACGTGACAAAAAAAAAGAAGCTAAAACCTGTTACACTGTTAAGTACAGAAAAATAGGGAAAAGCCAACGCATGAATAATAAAAAGAATTTCGAGAATTGAAGCAAATTTTACAAATCAGCCTGAAATAAGAAGTGCTGTGAAAAAGAAAACACTTTAGTTAAGAATGGAAATGATCACGTTCTATCTGATCACGTTTTATCTCTCTCTCACTCACACACACACACACACATACAAACAAACACACTGTCAAAACAGTGACAGCGAGGGAGAGAGAGAGAGAGAGAGAGAGAGAGAGAGAGAGAGAGAGAGAGAGAGAG